GAGCCAGAGCTCCAACCCCGACAGCCCTCGGCCTCAAGCGGGGTGTAGACTCCTGGAGGCGCTGCACCTACTCAGACTCCTGCCTTCCCCACACTGGGGAGGCTGAGGCAGGAGGATTGAAAGTTCAAGGTCAGGCTGGGCTACATACTGAGACCCTGACCCAAATGCCAAGAGCTGGAGCAAAACAAGTGGGGCACCTCATTAGGTGAGCTTTTTCTTTCTCTTCTTTTCTTTCTTTGCAGTGCTGGGGACGAGCCACACCCCCAGCCTAGGGATTAAGAAACGGGGCTCTTTGGATCGTGCCGGCTGTGCTCTGCCCACCTCAGGGCCTCTCACTGGTGGGCTCCAAGCTAAAGCCGCTGTCCTCCAGGCTGGGCAGGGGAAGGGCTGCAGCTTCCTTGCAGGGGCCTCGGCCAGACCAAGCAGGGAGTGAGGTGTCCATCGTGCTATCCTCTGGGCCAGCCGGGAGGGGTGTCTGGGGCATGGGGCCTCCAGGGAGGAGGCCATGGAGTGGCTGCTCATTGCAGGAGCCAGGACCTGTGTAGTTGGGTCCCTCCCCCCAGCCTCTGCCCTGGAGCAAGCTTGGAAGCTTGGAGGGGAGTTGGGGTCTGGTCCCCGGGTCCCTCTGTCCCCAAGCTGGTGTCCGAGTGTCCCTTTCCCGGGTGCTGGGCTTCCGCAATGGTACAGAGCAGGCCCAATGCCGTCTGCCCTGGCTGGGCAGTCCTGTCCCATCTCACAGCTGGGGCGCGGCTCTGGGAGAAAACCAGCTGCCTGGAGTGGGAGTCCGGGCTCCATCTCGCCCTGCACCCGCCTGCCAGGGTTATCTGTGGGGAGGCGACAGGTGGCCCGGGAGATGGCCTCCTGCCAGTGCCTGCTGGTCTCATCACGGGGTGGGGCCGCCTAGGTGGGCTGGGTGGTGGCCAGAGGCGAGGCCTGGGGTGAGGTGATAGGGCGTGTGGGGCCCGGTGCCCCCGCTGTCCCTGGGAAGGACCTGGCCCCTGCTGCCCACAGCTGGTCGGTTGCTCCTCTCTGCCTTCTCTGACTGAGGAGGTGGGGTTTCTCCAAATCGGCTTTGCTGAAGATCAACTCACGCCCTCCAGTTTGAGGAGGGCTGATGAATCCACACAGTTCAGGGACCGCAGTCACTGCTTACAAGGGTTCTGTGACCCCAAAACTCCTGTCTCCCCTTTAAGGGCCCATCCCTTTGCCTGTGCTTTAGAAAAAGACACTGGACAAGTTCATTTATTTATTCATTATTTACTTAGCTATTTTGGAGACAAGGTCTCGTCATGCAGTTCAGGCTGGCCTTGAACTCATGGCAGTTCTCCTGCCTCAGCCTCCTGAGTGCAGGGATTACAGGTGTGCGCCACCACGCCTAACTTTATTTTATATTTATTTCTCGTGCCTTCAAGGCTTTTCCTCAGAGCTACACCCCCTTTTGACACAGGGCTGGTTAAGTCACTGAATTACCCAGGCTGGGCTCTAACTTTCTGTCCCCCCAGCCCCCTGAGTTCTGGGATCCAGGCCTCCCCGATGCTTGGCAGAGGCATCTTCGTTTCCCATGGGGCATCTTTCTGTCAGCTTTGTGGCCCTTGGTACGCCTTTACCTGTTGGGATCCTCTGTTCATTTTTTGATGGAGTCATTGCCTCAATCTTACTGTTTTCGGTTTATCTATTTGGGAGCTGGGGGTTGAACTGTGCTTCTGTCACAGAGCTTTGTGAGTCCTTCACGTCCGGACACAGGGTCCTCAGATATGGGACGCGCAGGCTTCTCTCCCGGCCCGTGTTCCTTCCCGCCTTCGCGTTGTCTTCCGGTGCCTGACAGTTCTGGGCACTGGCGGAGTCCGGTGGACCCACTTCCCCCTTGCCGTTCCGTCTCCTCACTGCCTGGTCTGAGGTCTCAGAGTCTGCTCTGCATCCTCCTAGTCCGCTGGGCTCTGCTCTCCGCGGGCCCTGGGTCCATCCCAGTTGAATGGGTCTGCGGTGCAGGTTTCCTTCCTCAGGTATTTGCCGAGGCTCCCGCGGGGCTGTGTCCCCGCCGGGCTGTTTGGGCTCTTGGGAGGCAAGCTGCATACGCACCCTCCTCTGCTCTTGGAACTGGGCAGGGCCAGTATCTTTACCCCTCCATCAGGGCGTCTGGCGGACTCCAGTGCCGTCCCTGTCCCTGTCGTGTCCCTGCCACGCTGCCCAAGCACAGATGCTTCTCAGAGCCTGGTGGTCCTGCAGTGACCCAGGGCACCCATCAGAGACGGAATCCTGCCCAGGGCTCCGGGCTGCTGGTGGGGGACGCTGTTCCGACCTCGCATGTGCTCTGCAGCTCTGACTCACCTCACTGCCGCAGACCATGGTGGGGAGCCCGGGGGTGTCACCTAACGACTGTCACAGGGGCTGAGAACTGTGGAACTTGGTATTGGGGTGCTCTGGCCACTCCCTGTGTCTCAGTGGATCGCTCGCTGCTGCCTGGTGGGTCAGGTGGTCACTGGGCTTCGCCGGGACTTTGCTGTTTGCTGGCGAGAGCGGATCCTCACTGCTCCTCTGCGATGGCCCTTGTCACAGCTCCGCCCTGCAGAGGCACCGGCCTGCAGCTAGCAGCTGGAGCTTGGCTCTCCTCACCCGACCCCGGCTGGGAAGGGGCAGAGGGCAGCTAGTGAGGCTGGGTGTGGCTGTCAGTCTCCAGCAGCTGGGTGCGGAGCCAGCCTGTTGGGTTCACCGAGACCGCAGGAGGGGAGCACAGACGTACCGGCCCGTGTGCTGCCCCCTCCACAGACTGGGAGCCGTTCCCCTGGCTCTGCTCCGGGCACCAGGGTTTCACCAGAAGTTGGCCGCATAGCCGGCATCTGCTTCCCGGCCTCAGACCTGGCCCCTTCGGCCACCTGCTCGATGTTGGCATTTCTGTGTGCACGGGGGCAGCCGCTCAAGGGCAGCAGCCTTGAGATCCTGGGTTTCATGCACACACTGGACGTCTCCCTGTGCCTCCACCATCTATCTGCACATGCGTGTGCTTCTCACAGTCGCTCACAGAACCACACAGGGTCCTAGCCCACCGAGGGCCTGGCTTCCCCAGGCCTCCGCGTCCGTCTCAGCCCCAACTCACGGTGTCACCCATCACCCATGGAGAGGGAGCCCGTGGAGATATCTGTTGCCTTTCCTTACCTCGCAGCCAAAGATGAGATTAAAGCTTTAAAATGAGATTAAGTTCATTTAGTGGCAGTGAGTGGAGAAACAGATCCGGGTCTTTCCAGCCAACCCTTGGGGGTGGAGGCGTCGGAGGGAAGAAATGTGGGTGAAGGGAAGGGGGGGTCTCACTGAGTTGCCCAAGCAGGACTTGAACTTGCAGTCCTCCCTCCTCAGCCTCCCAGAGTGCTGGGATGACAGGCGTACCTGATTTCTTTTTTTTGGTACAGGGGATCGAACTTGCTTGTGAGACAGGAGGTGGAGCCACTGAGCTAAATCCCTGACCCCTAATTTCTTTGGGTTGATTTCATGGCTTTGGGAGCCGTCGTCCTGACAGTGTCCACGGTTTTGGCCTTTGTGGCGTTTAGCAGGCAGGCGGGGCTATATGACATCAGGGGTCATCTGGAGGTCGCTCTGTGGTAGCCTGCTGCCTTTGGCTAGCCCACCGGAAGGAGAAATTTGGGCCTTGGACATCCTGTCCTCTGCAATAAACAAGACTGGGGCGGGGTGGAAATCTTCCTGGGTCGCAGACACACCCTCCCGTCCTGTCCTGCCCGGTGTGGGCCTGTGGAGGAAGGAAGCTGAGTGTCTTTGCTCCTTGGGTTGCATCAGGTGTCCGGTGACCGATATTTTTTCTCTTATTTGCCCCCAGGGCCTTTGACCAAAGCTACATCCACAAATCTAATTAAATTTTAAAAATTTTGAGACAATGTCTCACTAAGTTGATTGGTTGCTCAGTCTGGGCTCAAATTTGTGATCCTCCTGCCTCAGCCTCCCCAGAGTGCGCGATTACAGGTACAGTCTGCCATGCTGGTTTATATTCACATTTTAGGGTGTGGTGAGAATTCAGTGAGAGTCTGAGTGGAAAAGGCCAGCGAGTGGGAGACTGTCATTTGATTGTGAAAGACTTGTGGGGGGGCGATAATTCAAATTCAGTGGCTGAGAATTCAAACTGGGTTAAGGCCAGGCGGGTGATAACAACTACTGAACAAACGGGCAGGTGTGAGAGAGCCCAGGACTGTGCCCCAGGCTGGGCTGCCGGAGTGGAGGCGCCACCCACTGGTCCTGGCTGGGTCTTCCCGACTCTGCTTTGCTTCGCTGTCCAGGCTGACCTTGGACTCCTGGACTCTTGAAGACCCTTTCTGCTTCTGCCTCTGGAGTAGCTGGGATTGTGCCCCTGAACCCCACTGTCACCAACACAGGGTCCTGTGCTCAGGGCAGGAGCCGCTGGGATTACCAGCGGCCATTTCCCAGAAACACTCTGTGTGGACCAAGTGAATTCTTGTGTGCGTTCGGGCACTGCTCACCATCGGGGGCCCACACCCTCCCAGATGGGCACACAGGGACTGTTTTAACCCTGGTCAATTCTTTGGTGCCCATTCTCTCATTTAGACTATGTTGTTTTGTTTTGTTTTCATACTGGGATTGAACCTGGGGCTTTCGCACTGAGCTACATCCTAGCTCTTTTTAAAATTTTTAATTTTGAGACAGGGTCTCACTGAATTGCTAAATGATCCAGGCTGGGCTGGAAATTGGGATCCTCCTGCCTCAGCCTCCCATAAGGCTGGGACTAAAGGCATGCACTACCATGCCTGGCTCTCATTTGGGGCAGTGGAGGCTCAGGCTGAGGGTGTGTGACCCTCCTGTTTAGGGAGCACCCCCACATCCACCCGTTCAGAGGCAGGGGTTTGGCCCAGGACCCCAAGACTCTCCAGTGCCCAGTGGCTCCTTTGCCCTGACCCTCTCCTCCCCCTCCCCAGCTGAGAACGCTACCAATGCCACCCAGGGCCAGCGGCGCCAGTGGCCCAGCTGTGACCGGCAGGACGAGATGCTCAACCTGGGCTTCACCGTGGGCTCCTTCCTGCTGAGCGCCACCACCCTGCCCCTGGGCATCCTCATGGACCGTTTTGGCCCTCGGCCCCTGCGGATGGTGGGCAGGTGAGGCTGCTGGTGAGAGCTGGGGTGCTGCGGGCTGCGCGCGGGGGTCTGCGTCAGCGCCCCCCTCCTGTGTCCCCGCAGCACCTGCTTCGCAGCGTCCTGTGCCCTCATGGCCGTGGCCACGCAGGACACCGAAGGTGAGCGCCGCCTCGCTGGATGAGGAGGGCTGGGCTCACAGTGACTCCACCCCACACCCCGCTGTCCTCTCCCTCCCAGCCCTGTCCCCGCTCATCTTCCTGGCGCTGTCCCTGAATGGCTTCGCTGGCATCTGCCTCACCTTCACATCGCTCACAGTGAGTGGGCGGCCGGCCGGCTGCGG